TGTGGTAACTATATTTGGGTTACGAAGAAGCTCATATGACCACTCAGTGTTCTTTACTTCATCTAATTCTGGATGTATCCTGCTAGTGGTTTATGTCGATGATATTGTGATTACGGGCAGTGATGAGAATGGAATTAAGAAGTTGAAAGAATTCCTCGTATCTCAATTTCAAACTAAGGACCTTGGTCCATTGAAATATTTCTTAGGTATTGAGGTATCTCGGAATCACAAAGGAATTTGCCTATCTCAACGAAAATACTGCCTTGACATACTACATGATTCTGGCATGATCGACACAAAACCATGTGAAGCTCCTATGGTTCCGAATGTAAAGCTGAAGTCTGATGATGGGGATCCTCTTGAGGACTCAGATAAGTACAGGAGAATTGTGGGACGACTGAATTATCTGACAATCACGCGTCCTGATATTGCCTTTTCGGTAAGTGTATTGAGTCAATTTATGTCATCTCCAAGAACTACACATTGGGATGTAGTCTGCCATATTTTGAAATATCTGAAAGGAGCTCCTGGTTATGGCATCAAGTACCAAAACCATGGTCATTATGTCATAGAAGGGTTTACTGATGCAGACTATGATGGAGACCCTACAACCAGACGATCAACAACAGGCTACTGTGTCTTTGTGGGAGGGAATMTGGTATCTTGGAAAARCAAGAAGCAGAATGTTGTATCAAGATCAAGTGCTGAATCTGAATACCGTGTAATGGCTCAAACTACTTGTGAGTTGATATGGCTGCGTAATCCATTGGGAGAGATTGGATTTAATCAATCTAAACCGATGAATTTATGGTGTGACAATGAGGCAGCTATCCATATTGCAAGCAATCCTGTATTTCACRAGAGAACTAAGCATATTGAAATAGATTGTCATTTCACTCGGGAAAAGCTTGAAGATGGATCTATTTCAACCTCTCATGTCAGWACTAGCAATCAATTAGCCGACGTCTTCACCAAAGCATTACCAGGGAACCGAATCACATCTTTTTGTAACAAGCTGGGCATGATCAATATATATGCTCCARCTTGAGGGGGAGTGTTAATTAAGTAACCTAGTTATGGTAATGTGTCCAAGCCCGATGGGCTTTAGGGTTATGGTTTCCCGTGTAATTATGTCTATATATAGTGTCTCTCCTCTTGTAAATTTGAATTTATCTGAATAATCATATAATAGAGAATTCTCTCTAATATCTCGGTCCTAGTTATCTCTGATTACAGTTCTGTTTCTGTTTAGGTATCTAAAAATATTTTTTATACTGTTCCAATGACATTGCATTGATGTTGAGCTAAATCTAGTTAACAAGTTCATCAAGAATACAATATATGGTCGACTGTAATATGATATGTACTTACTAGATAAGGATTTCTAGTTCCCTATACCTCTTTGTCATCATCTTTTAGATGAAATGGATTTTTCTTATATCCAACACTTCAACCGATCATTGGAGTACTACCCGAATGTGCTTTGTCCATATTAGATTGCCTGGTCATTTTCTGGACATATGTAGGTTGATAGATCAATATTCCACAAGCTCAGTGTCTTGGCTCAAATAACTAGTAGATAGAACTTAGTTTCCCAAGATTTTTCATCTCAGATTTAGATTTCAAGTAGCTTGTGATTTCTCTTATTTCGTCAAGATTGTTTATTATATTCATATCATCAACATATAAATCTACCATTGACAATCTAGAACTTGTTTTCTTTTATCAGTACGTAAGGCTACAGTTCGTTGTTCATATATTCATTCCTAAATCACGTATTCACTTAGGCGGGTAAACTACATCTGCCTGGGTTGTTTTAATCTATAAAGCGAGTGTTTCGATTTATTTGTCAAAGAATATAATTCTTTCTGGATTGTTTCTTTCATTTAGGTTGTTATGCTATTTGTTGACATTTTGCAACTGAGTGTGGTTCATTGTCATTGTACTCTATCATCTTATAAATAATAGTATATGTGAACAAATCACCAACGGGTATTTATGATATATCAATCGACTCATATGTACTCTCGTAATTTGTTTGAGATTTTCTTTCTTCTTTGGAATCAATATTAAACTTCAGAGTGTCCTCTAATATTGATTTATGGACATAGTTATATTCAAAGACATTCTCATACAAGGTTTTATGTATTGATGAGAAATGGTTGTGCCTCCCTCTTCTATTCTTTTAGAGGAGTATCTATTATACCAAGTAGCTTCCACCATTTTAGTTTGGTAGCTACGACCACAACTACACCTCCACTATGTGTGATTGCAACACACTTTCCAACAATGTTGTGCCATTGTTGGGGACTTTTAACCTTACGGGTATATTTACAGCTCGTATGTGCAATCTTGTCACTTTTGGAACAATATTTAAACGTATCAGGTATCGAGTCTGATTCGTTTGACTTCAAATTTACATTATATGAAGTTTAGAGATCAAAATGAGATAGAGTGGAAACATTTCATGACAATTCATATTGTTCCCTTGGAAAATATTTTTCCCTATCTCCCTCTTATGACGAGAAAACTGTCATTAAAAGTACATTTCACAAATCATGTGGTATAAAAAGATCAACCGTCAAAGGTTTAAATATGGATAATTATTGGAGATTCATATCCAACATATATACTTAATCGTTTTTAAGACCCATTTTGGTGCGTTATGGGGGGTACAACTGACACATATATTGCACAACCAAAATTACGTAAATGTAATATATCAGACTTATATCCAGTTACCAGCCGGTATGCATCAGAATGATTGACTGGTATTGAGTCTAAAAATGAATAAGTAAAGTTGCATGTAGTATTGCATCATCCCAGGCAGATGCGGGTAAATTGGTGTGCATAACCTATGCTCTAGCTCCCATCTATATCATTTTGATGACGACTTCTACAAGACCATTTTTATGCATACATATAAGGGGTATATGATGCTTTAGATTGATCCATTCCACATGAAAAAAAATCATCAATGCTTTTAATGTAAATTATCTAGCATTACCAAGTAATGTAGACTTGATCAGATAATTAGGGTGGTGAGCCCTTAAATGTATAGCAGGTGCTAGGAGTGCATCGTTTCGTGTGGATTATAATATGATGTGTGCTCATCATGTAAGACTTTAACCAGAACCATAAAATACTTGAATGGCCTACATTATGGATGTATATGTCCACAAATATCATATTGTATTCGTTGTAAGAATGAAATATTTTGTATTATGTTCTTACCTTAGGATGGTCTCGTTCCTATTTTGGCTGACGAGTGGGGTTTGCAAAAGTTTTGGTATTTGAGAGAACATATTGCGATTAAGGTGTTGTTTCTTATGTTACAGAAGTCAACAATTGTATTTGGATCATTTATGTATTTGCCTTTACCCTAAAAAAATGTATATGTGTGTATTTTTCAACAACCGGATCATTATGTCATGACCATGACGTTTGGTACGTGTGATGTATGTGTAATCATAGTGGGTTAGCAAACAGTCCACAATAGACAGCGCACGTATACATTGATCGTTATGATCGTCACTCAAATCATAAAGTTGGTAAGAACTAGTATCATATCCTCAAAGACTTTCTCATTAACTTCCTTTTACAAGTTTCAATTAAAGAGGAAGCAAATAAGTTGGTTGATTTGGTGAAACAGCTTTAACAATTTTTTTATAATAAAAAATGAGGTGTAGTTATAATTTTCCCAGATTTTACATTAAATACTTGATCTAGAAGAGTGGTCAATGTACTGCGTGAAGTGGACACTCTCTTTTGAGAGGTCTTGTCACAACTAATACTCACACTTCCTAGTTAATTTTTCATATGTTTAACTTTATCGTTTTGTTAGTGATGAACCCTGGTGAACCCTTTCGAGTTTCGATGGTATGTATAGAGACAAATGCTCTAAGTGTTTTTAATGCACTAGTTAGCTTGCCTATTACTCCATGTGAGTGGAATTCTTCACTATGCAAACCCAACTCTCTTTGGCGTTATAAGAATTCTCTCGAATTCCCTAGCATCACGCAAGCTCGTGTCATTACGTTATATCTATCTATGGATCTAGAACTAGACTTCAGACACTTTCAAGAGATCATCTTGTCTGCATCGTTGGGCTTTATCGAACAAAAGGTGAAAAAAACGATCGACATATAAAACTACTCAAGAATTTTACATAAAGTCTCGGTACTTTTTACTTTTACATCTCAAAAGATGTTTAGTTCATACTTAAAAAGGAGTAGAAAATAAAAGATTATAAGGGAACATACCGAAAGACTTTAAATAAACTGAAAGTCGCAGTGCCACTTTCGAAGGCACATGTATACAATACTGAAAATAAAAGTTACTGAAATTAAACTAGAGAACTTACTATTAGAAATTATTTCTCTATAAAAACTAAAACTCTCTAAAATTAATTGCTTGTTTGATTGATATATGATAAATAAACATCAAGAATTTAAATAGGCCAAATCAAGGACACCTTGTTTTACCTAGAATACAATTATCATAAAGGCCAAAAGATAATATATAATTTTAAATATAAAATAACTTTTATTTGTTTAATATATTAATTATTAATTAATAATTATTTTTAAATTGTTTAATAGGATAAAGACAAAAAAGATTGAAATACCAAAATGTCTTCATATTTAACGGACTTAATAAAGTACGAAAATAATACCAAGAATATCAAATATGTATTTAGGGGGTGTTTGAGATTGTTTATTTAAAATAACTTATGTTTTTCTATAAAAATGTTTATCAACTTATTATAAGTTAGAAGAGTTTAATTTCTTCAAAAATTCTTTATTATCGATTTAACATTAATATAAATTGTTTATTAAAACACTAAAAAATACTTATTATCGATGACACACCAAAATAAATCATTAAATTATTTTTATAAACAATCTCAAAAACCGATTATTTTGATTTTATAGTATAAACCATGGACCAAATCCGAAGAAACATGATTGCATATAACCGTTGACGGACGTTATCCGTGTATTTGACTCATCAGCACTGTAAGAGCCAACGCAGCACTATTTGGGACAGTCACTCAAGGGATCCCACTCAGCGGCGGCGTTGTTACATTTTCTCTCTCCTCCCTAAGAAATATCGTCGCCGCCGGCCATGTTCCTCCTGCAAACATTTATCCAGCAATGCCCCGTCGTCGCTGGCGGTTTCCCTCAATTCCCCCCTACACCATCACTACTTTCTTCTACTAAACATTCCGTCAATTTCACCGTCTCATGTTGCTCCGTCGCTTCGCCGGTGGCCGTTGTTAACGAAAATGTAGACAGGAAATCTATCGAGAGGAGCGAGATTAGGTTAGGTTTGCCTAGTAAAGGTCGAATGGCTTCCGACACTCTTGATCTTCTCAAAGTATTCTCTCTACCTCTTCATAAATATGGTTTTGATTTCGTTGTTTGTTTTGTTCACATTCGTTTTTTATTCTATTTTTGGAAGGATTGTCAATTATCTGTGAGGCATCTGAATCCTCGGCAATACGTTGCAGACATTCCTCAGGTTAGTTTAACTTATTCGTTATACTTCAAGCGGGCTATTTCAACTTCAAACTAATATGCATTCTATGCTTACTTTAAGAAATTGGTAAGTTTATTCAACTTTATATTCTATCCAACAGTAAAACAGCTGCAACTTTATAACAAGTACGATCAATAAACCATTGTTGCAAGTTTGGCCACAAATTTAAATCAATTTTGCTTTCTACCAGGTCTGACATCCAAAATCAATGTTACGACTGGTTTTTGAAGGACCATAGGGAGCAGAATAGTAGAAAGATTAATAGGCAGCAGTTGGTTTTATTTTGGATTCAAACATTGACACATTGTGCAATATAACCAAGGAGAAAAAATAGGCTAAGTCAACAATTATGAAGTGGTATAATAACTGAGAGCAAGAGCTAAGCATGGGAATGTTGGTTTAATATTACATCAGCATTAAAAGAAATCATAAAAATTCAGAAACATGTCAAATATTGCATTATGTGTGTTGTCCTGAGTAGTGCAGAAAAGAGATTGTGACATGACTTTTCTGGCCATCTATTATCATTTTATGATTCGAAATTGGGAAGAATATATCATCAGAAAAAGAATAAACTTTGTGAGTAGCCTATGTTTTATATGGTGCAATAGTGCATTACAACACAAACCACATCATCCAATACTTAAAGAGAGTTTGCGTGGATTAGAGTTGAAAATGTTATCATATTGGCCACAAAAGATTGAACTGGGACTTTGTTTTGGGAGGAATCAGGGAGGTATTTCTCTACTACGTCCCACTACAACTGCTTTAAAATGGAAATTGAAAGCATTTGGATTTTAAAGAATGAGTAAAGCTTTAGTATGTTTCTTTCTCATTTTCAAGTTTTAGTGACACCATCCGGTCAGACAGTTTTAAAGACACTTCCTTGATTTAATACCCATTCCATACTAAGGTAATTAAGATGATTCCTTTGGCTCTATCCTTGGTCTTTCTTGTTTCACATACATTGGTTGGTCCAGACTGCTGATATTTTAATTATAGAAGTTACTTCGGGCAAAATAAAATTGAACTTATGTTTGTGGTTTGGAGTCATGCTCCGATAAATAGAATACAAAAGCTGTTTCTAGATTTACTGGTGAAGGAGAATGTTGAGCAACGATATAGAAATGGATATCAACATGGTCTAACATGTTTTATTTTTTACCAACTCTGTGGGAGATCTGTTATCCTACTAAGCAGTGATTGACTTTCATACCCGTTGCACCAACATATTCTACTCGATGTTTGATGAAGTTCTCGTTTGAGACCATCATTACATGGTTGAAATTGACTTGTTTACAATATCTAATTGCAGCTTGCAAACTTAGAAGTTTGGTTTCAGCGTCCAAAAGATATTGTACGAAAACTGGTTTCAGGAGATTTAGACCTTGGCATTGTTGGTCTTGACACAGTTAGCGAATATGGACAGGTAACATAATGCTGTTGTGTATTTTTTTAAAGTATATAATTGTTCGAAATCTGCACAGGTTTAGATCTTCCCAAGATCATTCAATCTGGCCATCCCATAGATCATCATGTATTCGACATCATTCATAGAATATGGATAGAAGAAAGAACAAGATGTCACTAATATATTTATATATTTCACACAAAGAAGACAATGATTACAAGGATATGAACACCTATATATATAGAATGAAAGGGTGCCAACTAACCATCACACCTCTTCAAGAGGTGGTTATTTGGCGGTTTTCCCTCCCTCTCTAACTGCCGTCGGTCATTGGAGGGTGTGTGTGTACACACACTTATCAAATCCACAAACTAATAATAATTAATATAACTAACATAATGATTTTGTTATTAAGTTCCAACATTCCCCCCTAATAACAAAATCAGTAATCTTCGGTCTTCTTCGTTTCTTGATCCTCCTTGTTCATGCTTTCTTCAAAAATTTGATCCTTGATGTTGACTTCATCATGGCTTTTCGGTTGCTATTTGAACCAAATTCCAGCAGGGTTAGTGCCGCCATCTTGGTTTCAATTTTCGCCTTGACTTCTCCTGGTTTCTCAATTGATCAAGATTTAAGCGGGTTAGCGCCGCCATGGTGGGGTTAGCACAATGAAAAATGAAACTGTTTAGAAGTCTTCAACCAATCTTCTTAGTCATAATCAAATATGAAAAATTGTTTCTTGTCTTGTGTTGACATTCGAATCTTCCTGTGTTCATGTCTGATGAACAATCGATCTCCTATCGGTTGTTCTTGTCACTCGATGCTTCCTGCGTTCGTGCCTAACGATCGATTGAACAAACGATCTCCTATCGCTGTTCTAGATGGTGACGCATGCTGCGTTTTCTGTCTGCGATCGATCGAACAATGATTTCCTATCTTCTTCAACACAAAACATTTTCTTGAATGATAATTGAAACATGATTGATCTTTGATTCTCGTTTGAACCCTTGGCTCTGATACCATGTTCGGGATGACGGGTTTGGCATCGAAACATTTGATTGTTTCAATTTAGAGCATTCTCCAGAGTTATGATCTCGTGATTGAGATCTTTTGATGCTGATGAACCCATCGTAGGATCGTAAACAACACACACACACACTTTATGAAAATAGAGATTAAAACAGGAGAGGTGTAGTAATTGAATTGAAGAGATATTTACAATCAACCATTCAAAGTGTAAATATACACAATGAAAAGGTGCCACTTAGACCATCACGTCGATAGGCATGGGATGCCATAACCGACGTGTGTAACTTCTCTAAACTTCCTGCATATGAGGTGTCCACTATCCTCATTTATTTAAAATACATAATTAAAACTAATAAACCAATAATAAATACTATGTTTTGACATTTATATTTCCATCATTCTCCCTCCTAAATGTCAAAACATTTCGGACAGCTTGAGACTTCGATTTTCACAGTACGATCACGTAATCCTTTTTTCCATCTGAATCATCACTTGGGTCTTTGTCTTCCTCCGAGTAATAGCCTTCTATGCTCGGGTCCTCGTCTTCTACTTCTTCCCCGTCCAAAGTCTTGCAGCTCTTGGTTTGAACTGGAATAGCGTTCCGATCACCCTGATCGTTCCCTCCACCAACTGAGGTACCTGCGCTCTTAATATCCAAACCTTTTTGGTCAACCTGCCGATCTTCTGGTTCTTGATATTCAACCTTTTTCCAAGCCATTTCTGTGCAAAGACGAAATACTCATGTGGGTGAAATAGATAGTCGAGAAATAACCTGTTGAATGCTTCACCGTAGCATTCCGGGAAGCCAAAACTCATTGCGATTTCGTTCCAATTATCTTCCACTGTAATGATTTCGTGTCCTCCATATCCAATGATTAATTTGTAAAGATCGAATAAACAAACCTTTATACCAGATATCTTTACTGGTAACACAATCTCTTCACCGGTTTTGATTTTGAAGAACCATGCTAGCGCCTCGTCGAATTTTTGTGTGAAGAAATGCTTAATTTTATAAGCGATTTGATCATATTTAACCATGAACAAGATCGTGGTGAAATCGTCAAGGGTCTTTACACTAACCGGTACAAGATTCCCACGTACTTCAATCATATCTTTTTCAAGGGCTGGTTTCTTCCCTTTGTCATCAGACTTCGAGTCTGGATTCACAGATTCTTTCTCGCCTTCCTCTTCCTCCTTGCGATCCTCTTTCTTTTCCTTCTTACGGTCGTCACACATATGAGTGATTTTGCATGTCATTTCACGCACGTCTACTTCGAATCCTTGAAGTATTAGTTGCTTCATGCTTAGTACGTTTGTATTAATTCCCGGTATGAACGATAGTTACAGAACAGAGTATGTCCGTTCGTGTGTCGTTAATTCAACATCCTCGACACCGTGGGAGTGGAGCGGTTCATCGTTGTCAACCGAGAAACATCTTTTGAAGTTAACAAATGCTTCCCTTTCGGGAGACATATGTTTTGAAATCTTACAATTAACGTACCAGAGTTTGTTCCACGGTCCTCACGGTCCTCCCTCGGTTCCTTCGACTAGGTAGTCGTGGTTTATGACAACCTTCTCAGTGTGTATTTGTTGATAAGGTTGTAGCGGACCAGGACTTGTTTCAGTTTCATCTGGGCGTTGTACCGCTTGTCTCCGTATGAATCTGTTTTGCTTAGGGTCATACAACCGATAAGCTTTGCTGCCTGGTWCCACACCYAGATGTACCAATGGTATGCTCCTGTCACTGAGCTTCGTGATCTGATTAGTTGATCTTTTCATATAGGCAACACAACCGAACACCCTCAGGTGTTCGAGTGTCGGTTTCGAACCCTTCAGCCCTTCATGCGGTGTCATTCCTTTCACTCCTTTTGTCGGGAGTCGATTTAGAACGTACAYGGCGTGTCTAACAGCCTCACCCCAAAATTTATCAGGTACCCTGGTTGTTTTCAAAAGAGATCGCGTGGCTTCTAGGATGCTCCTATTACGCCGTTCCGCCACACCATTTTGTTGGGGTGARTATGGTGCTGTAAGTTGTCTCTTAATTCCTTCCTGTTCACAAAAACAACCAAACTCTTTGGAGGTGAACTCCCCCCACGGTCAGTACGCAATCCTTCTACTTTATTTGGAATTTCCATCTCAACTTGATGTTTAAATTTCTGGAAATTAATGAATGCTTCATCCTTGGTTTTCAGCATGTAAACCCACATGTATCGGCTATAGTCGTCTACRATTAACAAGAAATAACGGTTACCTGCCACGGTTGACGGGGAAATAGGACCACAAAGATCGGCGTGTACCAACTCRAGGGGTCGTTTTGCATGCCATTGTGCTTCTTTCGGGAAGGGTTGTCTGGTTTGTTTCGCTACTAGGCAGCCCTCACAAATTTGGGYAGGATGTGAAATTCTTGGAACACCTCTTACCTCTTACCATCTCCTTTTGCACCATAGACTTAATGACCCGAAAGTTCACATGTGCCAATCTAGCGTGCCACTTCCACGCCTCTTCGTCAAGGCTTCCCATCAAACACACCGGTTGAGAGATTCGAAGAGCTATCTTATACAGCCGGTTTTTGGAGCGTTCCACCTTCATAACCAACCGTCCGCCCTCATCATGAATTCTCAKAAAYTGGTGCAACATTTCAACTTTGTAACCAATCTCGGTCAGTTGCCCAAGACTCAATATATTACTATGCAAAGCTGGGATGTAGTATACCTCCGAAACAAGCTGTTGTTCGCCGTTTTTACATT